TTTTGAAATTGTGGTCGTATTATATGTGCATTCCATTATTAAAACAAAGTGTGTTAAAATTAACTCATTATTTCATATTTTTCTCATAAGAAAGTAAATGCTTAATAGAAATTCCACAATTCCTGACTTGTAAAGCCAAATTAGCTAATTTTATTTATTAATTCATATGAAGATTAGTATTAAAAGTGTTCCCAGTTTGTGCTAAATATATCATTCTAGTTTTATTGATTTTCTTTGACTTAGGAATAGTGTTTTTCACAGCCCCTGAATTTTAAGAATCATGATGTTTTTTGAAATGATTTAAAACATTTTATTAAATAGAAGAATTTGAAACTTCATAACAATTTTTAATCAATGATTATAAAAAAAAACTAAAGAAAATTTGGACCAGTTTTTTTCGCAAATTTAAATGCATTTTTAAAATTACTGCGTTTTTAACTATTTTTTAACTTTCGGTTTGAATTTTTATTTTCATTTATATCAAATAATAAAAAATTGTTTTAGTTTGACTGTGTTAAATCAAAAAACATATAAGAAAACGAAGTTTATTTTTTAGTTCATGAATAGTTGGATAACAAACTTCATATATACAGGGTGATCTGCTACAAGGAATAACGAAGTCGCGATAGAACAATATATTCTTCATAACAAAATTGTTTTTTGTATTAATGAATCGAAAAATTAATTGGCTTGTGTAAACTCATGGAGGAAATGCAAGTGTTGAAAATGTTTTGCGTCTTTTATGTTTAATAATTGTATTAAAATTTGTGCGTTATATTGAAATTGACGATGAGATGTGTGTATAGTACATATATGTTCAATTCAACCTTCACACAGTTTTCGCTAAGACAGGTATTACAAGCTATAAGACTATTATTTGTAATTATAATAAAGTCAAACTTCTACACATTTAAAAAGCGCGTGCTGAAGACGTATGTATTTGTGTATTTGTGCGGGATATTACAACGAGTTGTTTGTCCTTTGTTAACGTTTATCTGTCTCGTTCTATACGTTGCGACTGAGCAAGTTCATAATATACAAGTAATATAATTCTAACCTTTTATCAACGCATTAATCGTTTATTTTTATCGGTAGCCAGAAAATTGTTTGACGATGATTCGTTACATGTTGACGAGTTTGTTTTAAATCAATAATAATTGTGTAGTGGAAAAGATGACTGGTGAACACGATGGTTTAAGGCTGCGTAGAGCCCAAAGTGTTACTCGGGCGGAAGAAATCCAAGCAGAGGAGCAAAAAGTTAGGAAATTGCAACCGGATAAGCCGTACGTGCATTCATTTGTTTGTTAGATTGCCGTTAGATGGTTTGATAACGCCTATTTTCATTTTTATTTCTACCTGATATTCTAATATTGGAGTTTGCACCGGATTTTAGCACCATGTGTTCTAGAGGTCGTTTTAAATTTGTTATTAAAAGTGATATCTTTGTTTAATGATCTACACGTACAGTTTTACTTAAGTAAAATGTAAAATTCTAACTTTTTATAAGTAAAATAACATTTTTTTGCAGCGAACTTTTTATTTTGAGGAAAATTGTTTTGTACCATAATTATTAATTTTGTTACAGTCTTATGTTCATTAACAAATCAATTTTGTTACATAGTTTTCATACTTCCATTCAAAAATATTTAATTTGTAGACATTCCATTCATATATACTTATACCTAGCGTTTAATTTTACATCATAAAAAGTTTGACGCTGTTATTTGGAGCTAATGCTTCGGTCGGCGTTAGTTCTTGTCTTCTATCCTCTATGTGGGACTTGATATCACTGTATCGCATGTACAGATTAGCGGTGTTAAAGAAAATTGTTGTAATCAATGCTTTTCTTATCATGTTGAAATTATTCTTATTCCGCTGCGATTTCTAAAACAGCCTTGTAATTAAAAGGAAACGTTAGAATTTATTCTAAAACGCAACGAGTAAAATCCTAAATAAAAATATACAATAGTGAAAATTTAATAGAAATTAAAATAAAATTTTTTAAGAAACTTTTTAAAATTAAAATACAAACGTTCTTCTAACAGTCATTTCATCTGTTAAGGTAAAGAATTTATTTTTCAGCGTTATGGATTTACAACTTTTTCACTATTTGGTATATATTTGAGTAATTATCTACATTTTCTATATTCTTTTTATATTTAAATTTATTTAAATATTGAAATTTCTTTGCATCTGTCGTATCGTTACGCTGTTCTTATCATAAAACAAATGCAAAGATGTCAAATGTTAGAGGAAACAACTGATGAAGTACTTAATTATCTAATTAATGAAGAAGTCATTGCACTAATAACGTAATAACATTTTTGAGGGTCTTTCATTATTTATTACGTTTTGGTTTTTAGTTCGAAACATTTAATTTTTGATGCAAAGTGGTATAATAAATATCACAAAATCGCATCTACTCAAAATATTAATGCTTCATTCCTTATACGAAAATTAGTGGCGTTTTTAGTGAAGGCTACAGCCTCATAAGTATACATTACCTTATAAGGTACATTGTACACTCACGCCAAAAGTTCTTAGTNTCAGATGCCACAGACCTAGAGATTCATTGTTTTCATGGACTTCAGGTTTTAATAATTTCACAGGTTTCGTAAATTGGGCGTTTTTGTTACTATCAATAGGAGGTGTTCGGTTACTACTTGAAAATTTTATAAAGTGAGTAGTATTTGTTTGCAAAACATACAATTGCAATAAGCGTTTTACCTTCTCATATTTCCCAATAACAATATATTAAAAATATTGTCTTGTAACCTTTGCTTTGGCTCACTCATGCTTTTATAAATTACTCATACTTGCACGGTGTTTCTCAAATTTTATTTTGCTCTATCTTTTAAAAATTGAACTAAATGGTATACATTTGCTTTGTTTTTGTCGAACATCCAATTGTCGTACCTACATCGATAAATATCTATTTTTATATAAGGAATGGAGCACTAAAACTTTAATTAGAGTACTAAATTATCACTAAAAAAGTACTAAATTCTCTTGTGAATCGTATTGCGATTTTGCGATGTGGGTGTGCTAATTAATCCTATGTTTAGAAATAAAAATATGATGAAAATGTAACATCTACTTCTGACAATTTGGGATGAGTAAATGATAAANCTAAACATTATATTATATACAATATGTATACGTAGCAGACTAACAACAAGTGAAATTGCAATTATTTTAAGTCGTAAATTCGATACGTCTAGATCGAAGATAAATAAGGTTAATCCAGTTTAAGTTGAGAATTGAAAAATAGTAATTACTTTTTTGGTACGTGTTAACATTAGGAATGTAAAAACAGAGGGATTTCATACGTAATATTTGCAAAACAATTCACGTAATAATGTTTAAAATAAATCAATAAGTTTGAAAAATACTGTTAGTATAGTAAGATTTATTTTTATTGCAAAAAAAAAACACCTTTAAAGTCACTATAATTTTTGTTGCACTCTTATGCCAAAAAGTACTAAAGCGGAAGGAGAATGCTCCATCCAGGAACGTGATGGTAATTTTGTTTCCGATGGTAAGAAATCTTACTATACTAGCAATATTTTTCAAATTTATTGATTTATTTTAAGCAATTTTTGCAGTAGGTGTGACAGTTACGTACTTGGAGGAAGATAGCAGAATTTTAGAATATATCCGATGTAATTACGCATGTTGGTAGTAGCAATTTTGTTTAGGTTTCACACTGGTTTTCATATAACGAGTGTTAAAATGTTAATTAAAACACTAAATTCTCATGTGAATCGTTTGGCGAGTTTGTGATGCGGATGCGTTAGCTTGACGATACGGATTTACGAAAGTAGAGAAAATTGTTGATTTATACTAATTCGAAAACGTTATCTTTTAAATATTGATAAACAAACATAGATGTTTTTTAAAGTATGATTAAGAGCTCACAATTTGTCTTTGCGAAGATGGAGAAAGAAGTTAATTCAATTAAACACAGACACAAAGGAATTGCGTCCATAAAATTAAATAATTAATTGCAATAAAAATAATATCCCAATATTTTGTAGTTGATTTTTTAATAGATTTTTGATCTGATTAATAGTACTTTAAAATAAAAAAGTACCTATAATATTTTCACATTTCCTAGTAATAAACCTGGAACTCCCCAACACGTATACGCGCCTTTTTCTTATCAGGTTTTCATCAAATTAATTTTCTGTTCTGATAACCGTGATAATTATTGGTCTTTGAATAAATATAAAATTGGTATGATGTACGTAACTCAGGCGTTATTTGTGAAAATTTTCTAGCTCCGCTTTGAATAATAAACTGTGTTTGCTAACTAAATTTGTGGTGACCATGACCTTACTGCACGATCATTTTTTAGTGTTCTTTTTAAACACAAACATGTATTCATATTCAATTTTAATGGAAAAAGAATTGAAACTAAGAACCTGTACATTGTACACCTTAGACGCGTTTGAACATTTATTACCTTGAAATTTATAATTACTCAACTTATACAAAAAATTGCATTATAATTGCACTGTTTATAACTGAATAATATCTAAACATCTATATATTTTTAAAAGAAATAAATTGAATTAGTTTGTGCACTCAATTTGAAATAATTCTCCATAAAATAAAATCAATTATTGGTGTGTTTAACCAGAATTCTTTGAATTAGTTTTTAAGAACAAAAGTTTATATTGAAAGTGAAAGCTTGTTAAATGTAAAGTACCTACTATTTTTTTTAAGTAAAATCAGTTACAAAAATGAATGAGTCAATGCGAATGAAAAATTTATTTCTACGAAAGTTAATTTTGGATTGTTAATAAGAAAACGATGATGACTAATTTAATATTATTAAGTTACTGCAATAGTTATCAATAACAAAACGATTAGTAAATGCAGTTT